TTCCTCTGCAGGCCACTGGGGGCGCTCTGCAAGAGGAGCCCGCCCTGCCGCTCCCCTGGGGCGGTTTTGTTTTGAAATTTTTTTGTTTAATCCTCACCACAGGATATGGTTTTTTTTTAATTGACTTTTAAAGGGGACAAATGTAATACTTTCAACAATAAAGATTTAATTAAAAATAAATTGATTTTGCCAAACCGGTTTGGCTCAGTGGCTAGAGCGTCGGCCTGCGGACTGAAGGGTCCCAGGTTCCATTCTGGTCAAGGGCATGTACCTTAGTTGCGGGCACATCCCCAGTAGGAGGTGTGCAGGAGGCAGCTGATCGATGTTTCTCTCTCATCGATGTTTCTAACTCTCTATCCCTCTCCCTTCCTCTCTGTAAAAAAATCAATAAAATATGTTTTAAAAAAATAGATTTTTAGAGAGAGGAAGGGAGAGAGACAGCTCAGTAGGGCACCGGACCGAAATCAAACCTGCAATCTAGGCTTGTGCCCTGACTGGGAATGGAACCCACCCACAACCTTTTGGTGTACCATTCAAGCTCTAACTGATGGAGCCACCGGCCAGGGCGGTTTTTTATTTTTATTTATTGAGAGCGTGAGAAACGTGGATTGTTGTTCCACTTAATTGGTTGCTTCTTGCACGTGCCCTAAACAGAGATCCAACCCATGCCCTGGCATATGGGGACTGCGCTCTAACCAACTGAGCGGCCGACCAGGGCTCCCTGCAGGTTTGACTCCAAGTGCACCTAGTTCCCTGGAAGGGGCAGTGAGCGCAGGGAGCCTACCTCCCAGGTGCGGTGCATAAAGGCTTCCCTGCCCGCACCAGCTGGGTGTGGCGGGAGCAGGTTATTAGAAAGGCCTGGTGTCTTGCTTCCCTCGCTCATCCGAGCAGTCAGCCTGGGAACTGATCTTTGGTGGCAATATTCCCCAGATGTAGGAAAAAGTGCCCTAGGGAACCCTGCTCGGGCCCAGGAACTTTCTAGACCAGTGATCCCCTTTAATTACCACAATTCCCTTCAGTGAATATGATCCCCATTTTACAGAGCCAGGGAACTGTCTCAAAAAGGTTTGCCAATCACTTTTTTTCAGTGATTTTTGGTTGCACAATATCCTGGTGTGTGGATATCTCATAATTCAACTATTTTGTATTGATGGATACTTAAATCACAATTTTTACAAATGAATGTCTTCAGACATATATCTTTGTATCATGCATTGTTCTGAGGTTGATTCCTACAAATGTAACTATTGAACACTTCCTTTCCAGAGAGGTTTAGTTATTCACTGGAGGCCCGGTGCATGAAATTCGTGCACAGGTAGGGTCCCTAGGCCTGGCTGGGTCCCTCCCTTTCCCCAGCTGCCAGCCGGGATCTACCTTTGTTCCGCCCCCTGGTGGTCATCGCAAGTCACAGAGGGCAGTCAAATTCCTGATTGGTTGAACTTCCCAGGGGACAATTTGCATATTGGCCTTTTAGTATATAGGATTTGCCCTGCCCACCAAGTGAGCCAGCAGAGCACCTCCTCTCACCCTGGGTAGCTCTGACAACTGCTGTACTTTTAAACCTCTTTGTTAGTTTCACAGGGAAAGTGGGATTTCCGTCTTCACACTTGCTTAATTACAACTGAAACTGCACCTTTTCCCATGGGTATGGGCTACTTCTAGAAACGATCTCCCTTTGCCCTTTCCATGAAGGAAAAGTAAAGGATGGATGCTTGCTTGCACTCAGGACCCCATTTTCCTTTCAGAAGAACCTCCACTCTCCCTCTGGGGGTCACGCCAGCGCCTTTCCCTTCCTCTACCCCCAGGTGCATCACCTTTACCTTCCTCACTTCTAAGCTCCAAGGGCCCTTCCTTTACTCTATGACTTGTTACCGACTTCTATGACATCTATGAACTA